CTGGTTTCCCGGCAAAACCACCAACAACGGCCCAGTACCCTTTGTCCTTCCATTTTTCGGTGGGTTCCCCGCTCAAAATGACCAACCTCGCCAAGAGCTCCCTTTTCCGAGTATCGTGCGAGTCACTCGGGCAGCTGGGGAGTGAACTTGGCGCTGGCAGGCATTCCAGAAGCTCGATCTGTGAGCATGCCGCATGGTGTTATACGTTTTTTCGGTGCCCCGGGGCGCGAGAGCATCGCAAGTCCCCCAGTTGCTTAGTACCATGGGGGAGGGTTCCCCTACTAAAATAGACCAAGAAAAAGTACCCAACATCTCTACTGGAGGACCTAGTTATTTTCGAAACAACTTGTTGTTCCATCAAAGCTACGAACGGTGATCGACGGTTTGCTCGGGAAGAGCCACCCAGCGTGCCAGACTTAACTCACTTGTTTGCCCCCGCCTTTTTGTGGTTTTTGGGGTGTCCTTCATTGTCCTCTTGCAACACAACCCTTAGTCTGGCCATAGGGGCTATGCCTGCTGCAGTATGGGCTTTGGGCCTCACCTCCGCCTGTTCTATCAATCCAGCGTCGACATGAAGTCACCAGAAGTGAGTTTGATCCATCTGGCGAGTTGGCGATTCCTACCCACGCCTGTCAAACCTCGGCCCGCGGGGCATATAGCGAACGGGCTTGGGGTCCCGTTTTAACAATCAACCCGCAGCGCAGTTTGACGTATCTTGACATATCGTGTGTGTGTGTGTGTAGGTGTGGCGATTTGTTTTTAAAGATCAGTGCCGGCTTGTTGCCCGGTCCTTTATGTCCCAATTATTTTGGCCGTTGCTGTGGTTGCTGTGGTTGATGGCGTGTTGTTTAGTTACTCGCTTTGTCATTTTATTTGGGGGTCCATAAAGGTTTTTACTGTGGATGGACGAAATCGTGCCCATGTAAGAAACTCTGGCATGATGATTCCACAGTAACTACCAACAACAATGGTTTTCGATGGTTTGAAAGTGGCGCAGGATTTCGTCCATCCACAGTACCATTGAGGTGCCAAGTTGATGGCCTTGACTTCAGTCATCAAGATGCTAACTCCACTGGGCCACGGGGGATGTGCGTTCGAGTGACCGTGACGGGGATGGCACACCTGATGTCAAGAGAGCGGGGCTTTGGGCACGGCAACCGCAGACACATCACCGTGGGCTGTAAAGTATGTTGAGCCGCCTCAGTGGCCTGCGAGCACGTTTCATAGCACCCAAGCACCCCCTCTGAGTACTCCAAAGAAGGTCTTGGTAAGGCCTTGCTAGGGTCTTATATTAGGGAAACAGGGTAGGCGGGCATGGGAGGGGGAATAGAAGAATCTGCCTTCAATTATTAGCGAGCACCCTATACTGCAAGGGTTCATGGGTGTGCTATTACGACTATCTTACTTTGCCAAATGGGAGGGAGGGGGGAGGAAACTCTGTATATAGTTTAGAATGGTGCAAGGCAGCGTTTCGGGACCCTCGGGAATCAACCATATGGCCCCTCCCAAATGTACCAAATGTACCGATGGCTCAAAGAAAGTCGGGGTCCATCCCCCTCACTTCCCTAGAAGCTGGGCTTTCGACTTTTTGGCAAAGCCGTGTCAAACCGTGATTGATAGGCATCTAGTTTAGCCTTTCGGGGCGCATCCGCATCCCGTTCACTCGAAAAGTGCGGCAAAGGCTCGAAGGAAAACCACTTCCGGCAAAAATGAAATGCAGTTGTTCAACTGGTCCCCCTACTTGCAACAAGTAGCACGGGCCTCCGTGGCGTTTTGCAGCTCTGCCCCTCTTCGTCGCGCCGGCCTTGCCGTGGCCCTAGCCGCCCTATCCCGCACTGCGTCTCACCGTAGGAAGGGCCTCCCGCCGGCTGAAAGCGGCCGAAAGCGCGCAGGGAGTGCGGGGGCGCGGGTTCGCCCGAGCGACCCGCTTTGGATCCCAAAGCTTCCAGTTGCAAGGAAGGTGGAAGGCAGCGGAAGGCGCCATGTTCTCACTTCCTGAGCTCATGGACTTTACACTTGTGGGAAGACAATTGTGGTTGTAAACAACAAGCTCAGGCTTTTTTTGGGCTACCCCACTCAGGATGTGAGTTTTTGAGTCAGATATGTCAGGCAAGTGCTTCCTCCGTGTCGTTTGATCAAGGGGAGCATCTACCACCTTTTTTTTCCGCTGGTTCTGGAGGAAGCCTGGTGCATTGTCTTACGTCTACAAATCCAACTTGAAGAACTTGTCGCGGAACCCCGGGAGGATTGTTTTGACGGGGGGAAGGCAAACATGTGTTAGGGCTTTGGGGGAGATGGCGATGCTATGGCTCTGGGCAAGCTGAGCTCGGGCTTAGCCGAGAAGAAGCCGAGCTCACTAATTTATGAAGGCCCTTTACTTGAGGATGTCCAAATTTGGTTTGATAATGCTTGCAACAGCCAGCTTGACATAGATCATTCGGGCGGGGGAGCAGTGAGGAAAGCACTGATCTCCTCCAAAGCTATTTCATGCAGTGTAGGCTACATATGAAACAGCATCTCATGTTTGATGTCTTGTGTCCCCCATTTTTTGTGGCTGCCCAGCTTGTGACGTACCTTCCCGCAAATGGAAGACAACTAGTGGCTGACAGCCCTTGGCTCGAGCGCCCGAATGCTTGTGGCCCAAGTGGGTTGCAGCCTGAGGGGTTCTCAAGCTTTTTGTTGGGGGGAAGGTTCCCCTTTAAACCCATCTAGAGGAAATTTTGAAGATGTCGCCAAAAAACAAACTCAATAAGCCAATATAAATTCCAAACACATTACATCAGGATCGCCGGTTGCTTTAAGATCATTTTGGTTCCATATGTTGAGGCAGTTTATTGGTACGCTTCCTGAGCACTTTGGGGAAGTCAAAAAACGAGCTAATGCTTGTTGAGAGCGCAGTCAGCTAAACAGATAACTAAGCATGGCTGGTGTAATGTGTGGGTCGCGCCATCTTGAAAGTGAAGCTTAAAATGGGCCCAATGGATGCAGGGTTCCGCTTTTAACCCCAGCATGGTTCATTTCCCCAAAAGCGAATTCTGGGGTTCACGCGCACGGGGCAGTCAAACAAAAGGTGTTTGATGACTCCAATTCCCTGGCTACCGCTTTGTTCTGCCATAGGAGCAGCGGACTGTCCCAGTCCCAGATCCCAGTCCCTGACTGTTTCTCAAAGGCCCCTGCTTGCTTGGTATTTTGAAGAGATGCCAAAAGGTAACCAACCATCTCCAACCATTTTTCTGGGATCCACAATTTTGAGCCACACGTGGTGGATGTCCTATTGGTATCCAAGGGAAAAAGGGAATCAGCCATAGAACGATTCCTATGAGAGACCCATTTGCCTGCTCGAGACCCATTTGCCACTGATTTGTTGGCTGAGCACCCCGATTCCCCGATTCCTATGAGAGACCCCTTCGGTCCATTTCCGGTGGCACTCCTTGAGGCGTCCCAGCTCCGGAGCTCCGGAGCCGTGGGGGAAGACTGGAACGATGTGTGCAGCCTTCTATTTTCTCACTCCCTGAGTTCATGGACTTTTTTTTTGGCGGGGGGGGGAACCATTTTTTGTGGGGAATAACAAGTCTTGCTGTTTTTTGGCGAGTCCACTCAGGAAGCAGGGGGCATTTTGGTTACCATGCTTGGGAATGTGGGAAAAACAGTTGCAAGTGGGGAGGGGGTGCTTTTTTTTGTCCTGCATGTAGTCATGAGCATGGGGGGATGCAGAACCAAGCATTTCAAGCAAAACGGTCAGAAGAGGTTCCCTGCAAATCTGCACTGGTTTCGCTTGTCACTTGGTCACCCTTCCTCTGAACTTGGTGTTTTGAGGTGCATATATGGTCATTGCGTGGAGCATTACCACGGCCAACGGGATTGCGCCTTTCAGGGTTGGCCTTCAAGGCTACGTGAGTCTTTGCTTGCTTGCTTGTTTACTTGTTCCAGAGCTCATGACAATGTAATTTGCACATGGTTGTTGTTGCTTGCTCGCATCCCACCTTATTTACTGATATTTACTTACTGCTGTCTATGAAGATGTGCATACATAGATGTGTGAATGTGAACATCGACTTTTTACGTATGATATAATATAGAAGTATATGTGCATTTATATAGGTGTGTGTGTTGTTTGTTTTCATACCACCGTTTTTCTTGCCGGGCCAGTTGCCTGCCACAGGCAACGGTTATTCACCCCGCGGCAGACGGTTCGCTCTGCCTCAGAGCTCGATACACGCCGCGCCTGCGAAAAGAACCCAAGAAATAGAGCGAGGCGATTTCGATGTGCCAGGTCTCGGGTGTTTCTGGACGGCCGATTAGAAGCAGGATGGTTTGCCACCCATCGCGGATGTGGAATGGGGCTAGGGGGGGTGGTTCGCTCTCCAATATACCATGGCGCTTACCAGAAGCAGACGGAGGAGATGGAAGTAGCTCTCAGGTTTTAGGTTAGTTGCCTCTTTTCTTTTGCGAATTCCGTGGTGCAAAAAGGAACTGGGCAGAGGGGGGTGTCGTTTGAGGGTGCCTTGCTTGGCTCTTTTGATGGGGAACCAAAGGAAACAACTATTGTTGGGTTTCCTTACTTTGGAACAAACCCAGGTGAAAGAAAAGGTTGAAACATTCTTTATTCCAAAGGCAAGAAAGAAACCGGGAACTGGGCGAAGGTTTCTTGCGGAGCATGTTGCCACCCAACCAGCTGGTGAAGCTTTTGTTCATGTGGATTTCCGGCCTTCTATTTCCATTCAAAGTGCTTGGTGAGAGTCAGGTTCACGTCTTTCCAATTCGTGGCTTTTGGTAGCCCAAATGAAAATCCCTCTTTCAGTGGCGCGTTCGGATCCCACACAAAATAATCAGCGATTCTTAGCAATTACAAGCTTAGAGCTTTTTACAAGCATGCTTGGTGACTGGTCTTGCCCGTTTTGATCCTTTTTGGGGTTCCTTTCATTTTCCCTTTCCACCAAGCAACCGCGTTTCGCGATCCGTGGGAGCGATCCCTGGATCTTGGCGGATGGCGCGGCCAGGATGCTGCTGCCCTTGTCCCGCGAGTTCTTTACCAAGATCGCAGGCCGCGCGAGGGATCTCATTCTTTGGCTCACGGCCATCCGGCTCAACTTGGCCTAGGTCCCCCAGTCGTGCCCTTTTGCCGTTTCTTTTTTGGGGGGAGGGGTTCCCTTACTAAAATAGACTACAGAAAAAAAGGGTACCCTTGTTGTAACCTCTCTACTGGAGGACCTAGGCTAGCGTCTTTGAACTTGACAGGGCGCAGAACGCCTACTTGGGCGTTTCCAAGTAGCTGCCTTAAGCATCGGAGCTCACAGCCCGAAGATAAGAATGCGTGTGCGCCTTCTGACCATGTCCGATGTGGACTAGGGATTGTTGCTTACCAACCGCAATGCTTGAAAGGGGGCCAGACTTCAATCCAACAAAGATTGAACTCGTTGCCAGCTGACAAAGAAAATAATAACGAATGGCAAAGAGCAGGTTGCTAGGTTGGTAGGTTGGTAAAAGGCCTAGTCAAGTCTGGCAACGTTGGTGCGTTCTGGTTTCTTTGAGGGAATTTCCAGACTGGGTTGTTCAGTGGGGCCCCCTATTGGGACACAAGCACTCCCTGGAAAAAAGGGGTCCGTAGCCCCCAGATCGTTTTGCTTGCCGGCTGACTTTCAGGGGAACCCCCTCCCCCAAAACAAAAAGAACACGACAACAGAACTACAGAGGGGAGCAACCCACTGGAGGTTTCGAACTCATTTGGATTTATCTCCAAACGAAAAGCCCGACAGTGGAGCCAACACCAACAAGCTTGCCACACAAAGCATCAACCTCCATTCAATCGACCCCCCTCCTCCTTCGGAACCTGTTCAGAAAAAGCCTAAACCTTTCGTATCTGACCAAAAAGTAAATTACACCAGGAACTCCAATCTGGGCTGCCCAAGCCGATCCCCTGCAAAAAGTGACTAGCATTTAGTGGGTTAAATACGGAAACTACCACTAAGCCAACTAAAACCAAGGCTGCGAAACAGCTAAGGAACCGTTGGCGTTGTCTGTTGATTTGCATTGACATCCTTGCCTGGCGGGTCTGCTCCGACCAGAACTGCAGAACCAGGGTAAACTTTGAAGTCGGCACTTGTTGAAGTGGGTTCTGCCTCTTAGTTGATGTGGCAAGCCATCTTCTTGTATTTATTTTGCTACGATGATGATGTCCACCGTTTGCCCCATTCAATGACATTCAATGCGTGCGGCCAAGTTACAATTCATGGATTTGCGTGATATGGCCCAACATCTTGTGGTCTGATCCACGGATAGTGTGCTGAGATTTCTGTTTTGCATGGAACCACTGAGAACAGCGCCATTTCCAGGGTGACTTTTTTGACACTCGGTCGACGCACAATCTTCGTGGCCTGGCCCCTGTTGACTTGCGATCCGTGCGACAAGTAGGGAACGTGGGAATGAACCGGAAGGGGATTCCCTCAAAGGGAACCACCAGTATGGTTTATCTTAAAATCCTTCCATTTGTTGCTCATATTTGTTACTTGCCCCAGACACCAAGAAGGGGCATGGGGTAATGTTTGTTCCCAGATCCCTTGTCTGGGCTGTTCAAAGGTCATCCTTAATCCTTACCTGGGGTTACGCAAGGAACCGGCCCCCTTTGTGGCTTTCCTATAGGGATTATGGAAAATCGGATTGGCCAGCCCTCCATTTTGAACAGCCCAGCTCAGGCTTGTGGAATCGGGGTTTATTCCCACTTCTGTGAAAGTTGGAATCTGCCCCATGGGGTGTTAGTCTTTGGGGTTAGGCCCTTGTATCACAGAAGTGGGTTCCATTTCCAACCCTGGCCCAGATCCCTTCAGCCGCCCGTTTTCTCTTCGTTAGGACCGGAGAAGCTGATCATCGTCAGCTGGACCACGGGCGCGCCGGATCCGAGCCCGGGACACCCAAACCACGGAGGGGAAACGGCATTGGCGGCAAGGCCAGCCGTCCGGTTCTTTTTTATTTTGTTTTTGTTTTTGTTTTTTATTTTATTTTATTTATTTTTTTCGGGGGGGGGTTATGTAAGTGGGAGTGTCCAATTGACCCACTAAAAGTTAGTCACCTTTGGGGGATGTAAGAACAGCCCAGATGTCCTGTGTGTGTGGCTAAAAAAGGTGGGTTCACATCTCGGTCAACCTTTGGAGGTGATTGGGGGGAAGCGGTGTGGCCCCAGGCTGGCACATGAGTCGCTTGCTCACATTGGCCAATGAAGGGACTTTTCGCCTGCAAAAGCTTAAACTACCCCATTTACCTCGCCAACGGCAGTGTTGGGTACTGCAACTCCCCCGCAGGGGTATGGTTACATGATCTCTCATACTTGGCAAAGGCCATTTCCCGTTAGCATCGATCAACCAGAGTGTGCCTTTCTACCATGGAGAAGTAATTGCCTAGCAAGCGCGTCCAGATGGCCTTAGAAAGCCAAACATCCATTTGCATCCACTTGCACCAGGCAATTCCATTTACTCCTTTCATCGCGACACAAGTTGGCCTTGAATCATCCTAAGCCTGTTCTGATTGTTTACAAGGCCCTTATACTACCTGGGCCCTTGTAGTGCCTGAAGCTTCATTTCGTTTGAGGTGAAAAGGGCAGCCGCACGAACATCGCGCTGAACCTGGCCCTCTCCATCCGCAAGCACGCCCCTTGCTGCCAGAAGTTGGTACTCTGAGTAGCGATCAGTTAGCGCATGGACCCCCAATCCTGGCCCACCGATTTCCCAGGTGGTTGAAATCTTCAGTCTGCTAGCTGCGCCCGGTCTGCGCACTGGTTGTTACTCGCTATACGCGGTTTGCGGTGGTTGGAGCTTACCTTCCAACCCGAATCAAGGGCTACCCCTAGAAAGACTTCTGAGAGTGGGTCTTGAGATATCGGTGTGCTGAATATGGCCTGCAACTGGATTTTGAATTCTGGACCCCACAAGATGGACACCCTGCTGTCCAGCAACAAAAAGCATTTGGCGGGCTGTCGGGAGGACGGATGTTTATGTCTTTACCCTCCCCCAGACTAACATGGAAGCTCCCAGGACCCCTTTGGAAGACTCGGCTCGATTTGCCGAGGCCTTCTGATTGCGTCCACGATGGTCTGAGCGAGTGGATGTTGCGAAGACATTTTGCGTGGCACCTTTTCCAAACAGGAGGGAGGATATCGAAGCGGATGGCCGGCTAAAGGGGGGGGAGAGGCCGTGAATCGGTGATTGGGCCTCCCCCGGTTCTTTGCATGGTGATGAGTTTACTGCGCCCACTTTGGCATCGGGCACACTCACCAATACGGCATGTTCCCATGTCACTTGTGGGGGCATTAGTCGGGCATGTACCATAACCTATTGTAGTTTTGGAATTTGTTTTCTGACCACCTCCCTTTGGAGGTGGTAGAACAGACAGGTCGAGTATGTTCGGTTAGAAGCCCAACCCCCTGCGCCAAGTTTTTGTTTTGCACCCGGAAGCCAGGAACTTGGATCAAAAGCCTTCTTGGTGCCCTTTGATTAGTTGCAACCAGGAGGTGTTGGAAGGAGAGGCCCAAGCTCCCTTAGAGGCTTGAATGCCATTGGGTTGGAGATTTACCCCTCAACTTTTCGAGGCAAATGATGATCTTCCCCACTAACAAGCAACACGTTAAACTTTGTGGGAAGCGGTATTGGCCATGAAAAATACGCTTATTTCGGCTATTCCTCAGACAAGGTCGCAGATAAGCGATTTGCCTGTTGCCACATCTATGGGGCATGGTCCGAAGCCAAAACCGTTTGCGGGGTCGCCGGGTACTATCACCCTGCGTGTTGGGGGTGTCTTCTATGGGGGCATTTAACAAACAACACCAAAGCGAAGCTGGGAAAACGCAGGCCTCCCCTTCCAAACATTATGTTTGTGCACCCAAAGAAGCTTTACATATCATGGGCAGGGCACTCTTTATGGAGGGCACAACACTCCTTTGATTGTAAAGGGCCGCAATAGAGGCACCCATCCCAATACGGGCCGCCAGCAACAAATAAGACCAATTAGGGGTACTGGGGTTATTTTGAAGGGAACCATGTTTTGGGGTCGCCTGTCGTGTGTCAGGCTTCGCGTTTGGAGCGGCACTTTGCATACATCTCCATGGATGCTGTGGCACATCAGGCGGGCCATAGGACCCGGTCACAGGTTGATTGCCCAGAGTTTCTCAGAAGAGGAGTACCCTTCTTGACTGCTATTGGGTTGGATCTTTAGACTTTAACTTTTTGGTTGGGTTTTCCACTAAACCCACAAAAAGTTTTTGCAGAGGGGTCAACAGCAACCACGCCTTTGGAAGGCTTTTTGGGGAAACCAAAAGAAGTCAAGCACCTGAACGGTCCCTAAGTTTGAACACCCGTATGAGTCACACACACACACCGGGTGAAGGTTGCAGCCAGAAATCGGTGCGGATATCCGCCCTTTCTGTTCTTCCGAGCCATAAGTTCCCCTGAGCAAAGCCAAAAAGCTGCTAGCCACTCGCCAATCCTCATCCTACGGCTGCCAGCGTGCATCCCTTAATACGGCAACTGTTTCACGCTTTCATTGGCGTATGGGTTGAAGTTTTTTTCCCCACCCGACAGGAAGGGGTTGTTAGATTTTATGTTGGAATCCGCGTTTGCGATGCTTCTACACCACGCCCCCACCCAGTATCCCGCCAGAGCAGTTCGCCAGTGGATCCCGCCGAGTATCCCGCCAGAGCTGCTCACCAGTGGATCCCGCCCAGTATCCCGCCAGAGCGGCTCGCCAGTGGATCCCGCCCAGTATCCCGCCAGAGCGGCTCGCCAGTGGATCCCGCCGAGTATCCCGCCAGAGCTCGCCAGTAGCGGCTCGCCAGTGGATCCCGCCGAGTATCGTGCCAGAGCAGCTGGCTAGTGGATCCCGCCCAGTATCCCGCCAGAGCTGCTCGTCAGGTGATCCCGCCGAGTATCCCGCCAGAGCGGCTTGCCAGTGATCCCGCCGAGTATTCCGCCAGAGCGGCTCGCCAATGGATCCCGCCGAGTATCCACTAGCTCACCAGTGGATCCCGCCAGAGTAGCTCGCCAGCATCCCACCAGAGCAGCCTGCCAGTGGATCCCGCCAAGTATCCCGCTGATCCCTTGCCGGTGGATCCTGCCGAGTATCCGTGGCTCGCCAGTATTCGCCAGTGGATCCCGCCAATATCCCGCCAGAGCAGCTCGCCAGTATGGTTTTGCTTACTGTCCAAAAGGGCCGATTTGAATTTGGAGTCGAAGTCTCCAGGATGCGGAATAATTTGTTGTAACGGTCGTAAGCTTGTGAGTGTGGAGGGTGGGGATTGCTCGAAGCGAAGTATTTTTTTTGTTCGGCGGCCCCTGGCAACGATCGGAACAAACCGGGCGAAACGAAGGCGCGCGTGTCATAAGACCCCCCCTCCAAACCTGCCGGCTTCGCATGATGCTTCTTGAGGTCTTATTCGGTCGAAATTTCGGGGGGTTGGGGACAAGGAACTGGGACAGGTTTTTTCTGGGGCTACCTTCCCCATTCTTTCCAGGGATCCTTCTTTTCAGGAAACCACCAATACCCGAAGGGGAAACAGATCTGGTTTTTGAAAAGAAGGATGGTTGAAAGGAATGGAAAATAAATCAACCCCTAGATGCTTTTTGTGGTCAACAAGAAGCTTGCTTACCTTTCTTGGTCCACTCCATCGGAAGGGAGAAACACACCCCTAGAGGTTTGTGGGTCCGCGCAGGTGATGCAGGAGCATGGCTTCAACTCGGCCCTCTGCGACGTCACCTGCCGCACCGCTGACCTGAAGGACGACATTTGGAAGATGCGCTGGGCCCTCGGCTTGAATTCTAGGGGTTGATTCCTTGACCATTATTTTCAGCCATCGTTCTTTTTCAGCATGTGAAAAGTCGTCAATGCAGAAGGTACAGTGGCTACAATCAAATATGTCTGGGTGAGTTATAACAACCTCACACGACCGAATTCGCCCCAAATAGGGGTTTATGTCGGGAGTAGCCCCCCAAACCACCGCAAGTTTCAGGCTGGTGAAATATTCGAATTCACCCAGATCAGTGACTTGCGATCGGTGCTCGATAGCTCGGTGAAGGGAAATGGAAGGAACCGAGGCTTTGAGCCTCCGACAAACAGGAAACCAGCAGCAAGGGATGGTCATAAATCGCTGCGGATATCCGCCTTCTTAATTCTTTACATGGTTCTGGTAGACCATTGTAATACCGGGTTTTGATTATGACTCATTTCACATCATCTGAGCACCTGAAAGGTTCTTCTGGGTGCGGAATGGTACATCATTTGAATTCCGAAAGGAAACCAAAAGGGATGGGTCGTTGTTTTCTTCTTTTTCCACCCCCCCCCCAATTTTGCGACCAGCATGCTACTTCCTATGAACCTACCTGCAAAGCACAGCAAAGTGAGGTTCTTGGGTGAGAGACAGCCTCTCCCAATGGTCTGAATCTTGGCGAAATCCCTTCTCCAGTCAATTTGCATCCCCAGCGGTCTAACTTCCAGCCGTCAATCTTGTTGTCAGCTGCCTTCATTATGTTAAACGCTCGAGCTTTATTTAGCCCGTCAACTCAGGTCAGTGCTTGTGGGAAATGAAGGCGACTTTCTGGAAGATATCTAGTTACTTATGCACTTGCCTTTCTAATGATCCCATGCGTCAGAAGAATAAGCAACGGGTACAAACTGCAAAGAAGGACACCACCCATTTTGCCGGAGAGTGGGATGCAGGGTGGTACCTCATGCTGACCCTCACCTCCTTCGGGCTGCGCGCTTTGGTGGTGGACGCAGACATCGTCTTCCTGGGGGACCCACTCAAGGAGTGGTGGCAAGTCATGGATTGAATCGGTTCTAGACCCCCCACCCAATTCGCGCCAATCTACACATGTTGAAACTATGAGCAGCTTCAGAACCTGACATAGGCGATCCCTGAGTAAAGGACCTACTTCATGGTAAGCTCGTTTTTTCTGCCGCAAAGGCCAGAAGCGGGCCACAACCACAACACCTTTCCGGGCCATGCGAGGGCCTGGGGTGAAGCCAAAATATACCAGGGCAATGCTTTAGAATGGCTTTAACTCGGTTTGCTTACTGCATTCTTGGAATCAACCCCTCCAGAACCTACCTATCAAAATGCTTGCGGCGACTAGTGTTCTCAAAGCGAAGTGAGCTGTGAGTGAGCTTCGCAACTCCAGCTAGGAAGAGAGCCCTGTGCCCGTTGTTCATTGGCACCCTTTCTGCAGGCACTCCTTAATTGTTCTTTTGGACTGGTGGTTTGGGGAATCGAACCCCAGTTCCTTTTGAACGCACATGTATTTTTAGCGTCCAGATCGCCAAGCCAAAATACCGAGCCCAGCCACGAATTTCAGGGTTAGCTGATGTATCTTTTGCTCGGTGTGTCCCCCCACTCAAACTTTACGGGGCCCCGGCTACCGAGCTTCAAGGTTCCCGCCTTCGTTCGGTTTGAACCGTGCCGCACTTTGTCGGGTCAATGGGCTGGGTTGTTCGAAGTGGGTGTGGGTCAAAGAATGGTGCAACATGGAATTCTGGTAAATGGAACCAAGGACCCAACACCTGCGGTGCCCTGGTGACTCATGTTGACACATACCCAAGTGCCTTTGCATGTCCAAAGAGTTCTTTGAGAACGATTCAAAGGCCATCCTTGTTTGTTGATCTTCGGGCAATCCAACGTAAACCCTTGGGTCTTAGAACCTTTCCAGGGAGAACTCCCTTCATTACTTGGGAGCTGTGTACATGGTCGTACGTCCGAAAGTGGTAAAACTCCCTCCTCCAGGAGTTTTATGGCGACTCTGACATGGAGGCAAGCGATCGCTCTCGTTGCCTGGTCGGGTTCACCTGTTGGCCATTTTGTCTCTGATTTTCTTTCACGGGAGCTTCATGTTTTCCAGGTGTTTCTTTGAGACTCCATGCTGGCCCAATGATGTCTAGCCATGCCACTGCATTGGACAGGCTCAACGGCAAGCAAGCTCCCGGTAGACGGGCAATCTGGAGAACAAAAGGGGGGGATCCCCGCTGAAAGGCTCACGGTGGGGCCAATGATGCTAGGTGCAGAATGACCAGTTTGCTGGCATATTTTTCGTTTGTTTTGTTTTTTCGTGCATTTGCTGTCAATGAGCCGCACTGGGCATGGGATCGCTATTCAGAGGGTAATTGTGAGGATATCACTTTAATGTACACATATATATATATATATATATGGTACAGCGTTGCCAGCCCCCCCCCCCCCCACCAATGGTCATGGGTCAGACAAGTACCCCCCCCCCCCCCCCTGTGGTTGTGGTCCTGTGGTTGGGTTGTGGTGGTTTAGGGTTGGTTTAGAATTGGTTTAGGGTATATTTAGGGTTAGTTTAGGGTTGGTTTAGGGTTGGTTTAGGGTTGGTTTATGTTGATTTAGGGTTGGTTTAGGGTTGGTTTAGGTTTAGAGGTGTACGGTTTAGGGTTTGGTTTAGGGTGTATTTAGGGTTGATTTAGGGTTAGTTTAGGGTTGGTTTAGGGTTGGCTTCGGTTTAGGGTTTCTTGTTTAGGGATTGGTTTAGGGTGCATTTGGGGTTAGTTTAGGGTTGGTTTAGGGTTAGTTTAGGGTTGGTTTATGTTGATTTAGGGTTGGTTTAGGTTTAGAGGTCTACGGTTTAGGGTTTGGTTTAGGGTGTATTTAGGGTTCGTTTAGGGTTAGTTTAGGGTTGGTTTATGGTTGGCTTGTCCTGGGGGTGGGGGTGCCGGGGTGTACTGGTTGATCGGCTTACTAGCAAAAAGGGTACCCTCAAGAAAACACAGGCTCTCTTCTATCCTCGGTAGGCTGGATGAAGATTGCTGCATCCCAGTCTTGTTTCTCACGCTCAAGTGCGATATGGACGGAGTCGAGAGACCGAAAACCCGAGTTTTGACAGGTGATGACGGACCACTTCTTTCCGGAGAAGCACCTCTGGGAGCCTTGGGTCCGCGTGGAGGAGCGCTGGGGGGGGGTTTCGAAGGTGCAAAAGGAACTCCGGCCTGGCGTCAAGGCTGCGGGTGGACTTGACATTTCCCCTGCGGACTACGAACGCACGCGTTGCCAGTCGATTTGTTTTTTCGCACGTGTGTGTTTTGTTCTTTTAGTTTGGGAGCTGCATTTATGTTTGTCTTCATGACTAGCTGCTCACATTGAACGTATCACCCAAACATTGTTTGTGTGCGTGCGTGAATCCTCGAGCTCCCGTTCGTGTGAAACCAAGCCAATTGTGTTGACTAAGGCCAGTGTCGCTTGTCATCCTTGGCCTTTGTTCTGAGTTCCGACGAGAAGTCAACGTTTTGTGAGAAGCCCCCCCTACTGTGGATGGACGAAATCCATTTCGCATATAAGAACCCCCAAGAACGATGATTCCCCCTAAAACTACCAACTTGCAATGGTTTCCCACGGTTTCTTTGGTGCGAAATGGATTTCGCAACCACCCACAGTATTACTGCGCAAGGTCCGGTGGGCCCGGAAGAGCCTCGCTGGAAGCGAGGGAGGCTTTGCTAGCAGTCCCCGGCCTGCGAGGCCCAAAACCCACCAGACACCCACCAGGCCTCCAACCCCATCCCCCGACCGCCCACTTTGGTGCTCATAGGAGTTGTTTTTTGTTTTTTTTTGGTTCATTTGGTTGAAAATAGACGGCGATTCCTGGTTTACCTGGTGGTTCAATGAACTACCAGGGCCATCTATTTTTCCAAAAAGGACACCAATGTTGGTGCCTGACTCGTTTTTTGTTTCTTTCTCCAAGCGATCGAGGACCACATCAACACCGGCTTCGTCCTCGTAAAGCCCAGCCAGCCCCTGCGTGCCTCGAAGTCCTTGGCACAAGTTGTTGTTTGCCCAGTTGCCCAGCGAAGTCCGCCCCTTTTTTCAACTTTGTTTGGGAAGGGTTGCCCTTTAAAGTCAACCAACCAAAAAAGGATGTTTTTTTTCATTGCCACTGGGCAGTTGAGCTTTGGTTCCAAGACATCAAAGATCTATACTCACAATTGAGCATGTGGGGTTGATCAATATTCCCTTCGGCCCACAAATGTCCACGGGGAACTTTTCCTATTGCATGGGACATCTCTCGTCTTTTTATTGGTTTTCCCCATTGGTCATCCTATGTAGAGGACTTTTTGATCACCCCCCATCTGTGTGTTTGTGTTCTTTTGTTGTATTAGTAGTTGATGTTTATTGGTTTGCTTATTTGTTTACATTGCTTATGTGCACGTTGAACATGCCCCCAATGCCTTGCGCGCAGAGAAAAGGAACGGAACTGAGCAGTGAGGCTTCCTCATTGCCGACTTCTTGGATTTGAACTGGGAGTCCGAGCAGGGAGGCGCGGAGGTTTTTTTCAGGGTTCAGGGGTGCCCATAGGTCGTGTTTGGTTGGTTTTAGACATCGGTTGTCGTTTTTGGGTTGTTTTTTTTGGTTGGTTGTTTTTTTTGGGTTTGTCGTTCTTGGTTGGTTGGTCTGTTTGGACCATTCAAGCTGAATCTTCCTTGTAGAGTTAAATTTCAAAAATTTCAAAGAGACATACGGAATCCACTGGTTTCCTTGCGGAGGAAAGCACCCCATCTGGGACTGCCTGATGCTTGAAGGGGGGGGGGTGCAACAAACTAAGTTGTGAATGTGCTTTGCTAACAAACTAAGCGGGAAGTTGTGTAGCTTGCTTGAGGCTGCCAGTGGCCGACCGAACGGTGGGATGTATGTGGAATACCTTCATGCAAGCTCTCACTCCCTGCTTCCATTTGCAGAAAGGAATGTTTGATTGCTTTTAAAGGAAACTGATTTCACTGCTTGGCATATTTTCGCATTTTGACCGGTGGCCTGAGTTCATGGATGTCTTGCTTAAAAGGGGCAATTTGAGTTGCGAGAAAAAAAAACACAGTTCTAGACTTTCTTTCACCAATCGTCACAGGAAACGAGCAGTGAATTGTAGAAAGACAAGCTTTTTGAAGGAAGGGGGCCCGATTTCTTAGGACAGGAGTTTGGTGCAGGCAACTGCTACCCATTACTTTGGCTGCTGGGCCGGCACAAAAAACGCAAAAGGGGGCATAGTGAGGGATGCCCTGTGATGTATTTAACTTAGAACAGTAATCCGGCAAGCTTGGCTTGGAGATTTGAAGCCTAGAATCATGAGAAGGCACCCTTAACCTGAAACCAACCCAATTCAAACCAGGGAAAAGCTTTGCAGCTGAGCCTTCCAAAGTGAGATCCTGAGAGCCTCCAGGCCCGTGGTTTGCAGGAAAGCTCGCAGAACGCGACACGTCTCGCCGCTCGTCCGGGGCTGGGTGTGGTGCACCCCCCCCTCCCTAGCCCCCCAGCCCCTTTCCCCAGCCTGAAGCCTTCCCAAGCCGATTCCGATGCGAGGGGTGCGCCGGGATGGTATGGCGCAGCCCTCAGAGAGCCAGACTTGGATACGACTCTGTTGCTCAGTGGCGTCATTTGTTGTTACCTTTCTTGGGACTTTAAACTCAACCAACCAAGAATGTTTTTGCTCATGGCCACTGGTTGTCCTGCCCCTTTTTTGCTTTTGTTGGGGAAGGGTCCTCCTTAAACTCAACCTGCCTGGTTAGAGACATGGTGTACATCCCCACCTTTCCCTTTTGCGGAAAAGAGTGCATAAATGGAATTGGGGGACCCCCCACCCCCCTCCCCGCAAGGTAGGGGGGATTGGTGTACCCACGTATCCCCACTCTGAACAAATGGATGGGGAAGGAAGGGATTTGGCCTGGGGATCTCCGTTTCTGGGGCCATAATATGGCGACGCCTAGAAGAATGGAATTGGGAGCCCACCCCCCCTCCCCCAAGAATCGTGGTTTACCTTCTGGCTTCCCGTTAACCAACCCCAAAAAAAGGGCCTTGGAAAACAGACACACCCACCCTGAATGAAGCAGTGTGGTTTTTGTTGGTGTACGTGCCCCGGATGACCAAGTTCATTGGAGGATATGTCGGGTCCTTTGGAAGGTTCCTGGCCACTTTGAAGGGGTCCGGTAGAACAAAGCCTAAAGTGCCCCAAGTTTTCTGAGGTAAGCAGTCTCACACCCATCCAAACATGTCAATTCAAAACGGGGGTCCCAAAAAGGATTCCTCTAACACTGCTGCCATTTCGGCTTCCATATCTGCATGGAGTATTTGCCAATCATGAAACAACAAACTTTAGAGCCTCCGGCTCAGTCCGCCGACATTGTCCTCTCCCTTTTCTCCTTCTTCCTCTCTCCCTTGTCTCCCTGGTGTGTTCTGTCGTCCTCTCTCCTCCCTCCGCTCCCCATCCTCCCCATCCCCCCAAGCCACTCTCCCCAATCTCCCTCTCTCGTATGTATGTATGTATGTATGTATGTATGTATGTATGAATGAATGTATGTATGTATGTATGTATGTATGTATGCATGTATATTAATGTATGTATGTAATGTATGTATGTATGTATGTATGTAATGTAATGTAATGTAATGTAATGTAATGTAATGTAATGTAATGTAATGTAATGTAATGTAATGTAATGTAATGTAATGTAATGTAATGTAATGTAATGTAATGTAATGTAATGTAATGTAATGTGTAATGTAATGTAATGTAATGTAATGTAATGTAATGAATTGTAATGTAATGTAATGTAATGTAATGTAATGTAATGTAATGTAATGTAATGTAATGTAATGTAATGTAATGTAATGTATGTATGTATGTATGTATGTATGTATGGTAGGTGGGTAGGTAGGAGGTAGGTAGGTAGGTATGCATGCCTGCATGAATGTATGTATGTAATGCATGTATGCATGTATGCATGTAATGTATGTAATGTATGTATGTATGTAATGTAATGTAATGTAATGTAAAGTAATGTAATGTAAAATAATGTAATGTAATGTAATGTATGTAATGTAATGTATGTATGTATGTAATGTAATGTATGTATGTATGTCTGTATGTCTGTCTGTATGTATGTCTGTATGTATCCTTGCACTTCCCCTGTGCTCCCCAGTATTTCCCGCAAAAAAACACAGTTTTTCCAGCGTTTTCGCAAAGATGATGTCCAAAAACACAGAGTTTTTTCCAGATTTTCGGCAAAAGGATGCAGGAAGCCCAAGCCAGCAAAAAAGCCGGCGGGGGGAATCGAGCCTGGGACCCCTGTTTTGCGACACCGGCGTTTAGTGGAACGTCATCAAATTGCCGCGCGGTCCTTGGGGGGGGGGGGTTAGGGGGGGGGTTATCCTCTATCCTCTCTTAGGTGTCCGACACGCCGTGCAATGTCGGCGCATTACTCCAAACCACCAGTGGCCATGGGGTGCACTTCGTGTTGCTAGCTTAGTTTTCTTTGCTTTTTGCGTTTGGGGGGGGAGGGGTGGTGAATGAACATGGGCGATGAAATCCGTTTGTTTCAACCATGGCATCCTGTTTAGAGGCCCAGAGGCCCAGGGCTTCAGCCCACTGGAAAGCGAGAAAGCAATATTTACCAGTAGCGATAGATTCCCGGTACAACCAACAGGGAACAACACATCCCCAATGAAAATGGAACCCAAACAGGGGGGATTACTCACTCCCGTTCCTGGACTTGAAACCATTTGGGAAGACCAAAGAAAGTGGTAAATGTCGAGTTCGTTCTTTTTTTTGACGATCCACTCGTGAAGTGAGGAACTGGGGACCTTGGAGCTAAATCCCCCATTGGCTTAGGCGCCTTGGGCTAGTGGAATCAAGTGCGTGTGCTTCCCCTCCCCGCAATATGGATTTCTACACGATGCCAATGCTTGCGACGCATGTTGCCGGAGATGCGCTGATGATGCAGCCCGGTGCTGTTGATGCAGCCGCACTTCTTGCGACCTATGTTGCTGGGGATGCTGATGATGCAGTCTGCACTTCGCATGAAATGCGCTCGGTTTGCAAGCAAATTAATGCTAGCGGGGCAGGGTGAACTCACACCAGTAACACGAGGCCAATGCTTGCGACGCATGTTGCCGGAGATGCGCTGATGATGCAGCCCGGTGCTGTTGATGCAGCCGCACTTCTTGCGACCTATGTTGCTGGGGATGCTGATAATGCAGTCCGCACTTCGCATGAAATGCGCTCGGTTTGCAAGCAAATTAATGCTAGCGGGGCAGAGTGAACTCACACCAGCAACACGAGGCCAATGCTTGCGACGCATGTTGCCGGAGATGCGCTGATGATGCAGCCCGGTGCTGTTGATGCAGCCGCACTTCTTGCGACCTATGTTGCTGGGGATGCTGATGATGCAGTCTGCACTTCGCATGAAATGCGCTCGGTTTGCAAGCAAATTAATGCTAGCGGGGCAGTGTGAACTCACACCAGCAACACGAGGCCAATGCTTGCGACGCATGTTGCCGGAGATGCGCTGATGATGCAGCCCGGTGCTGTTGATGCAGCTGCACTTCTTGCGACCTATGTTGCTGGGGATGCTGATGATGCAGTTCTTGCACCTATATTGCGCTGATGATGCAATGCGCTCGGTTTGCAAGCAAATGAATGCTAGCGGGGCAGGGTGAACTCACACCAGCAACACGATGCCAATGCTTGCGACGCATGTTGCCGGAGATGCGCTGATGATGCAGCCCGGTGCTGTTGATGCAGCCGCAGTTCTTGCGACCTATGTTGCTGGGGATGCTGATGATGCAGTCCGCACTTCACATGAAAAGTGCTCGGTTTGCAAGCAAATGAATGCTAGCGGGGCAGGCTGAACTCACACCAGCAACACGAGGCCAAGGTTTGCGACACATGTTTCCGGAGAGGCGCTGATGATGCAGCCCGGTGCTGTTGATGCAGGCCGCACTTCTTGCGACCTATATTGCTGGGGATGCTGATGATGCAGTTCGCACTTCACATGAAATGCGCTCGGTTTGCAAGCAAATGAATGCTAGCGGGGCAGGCTGAACTCACACCAGCAACACGATGCCAATGCTTGCCACGCATGTTGCCGGAGATGCGCTGATGATGCAGCCCGGTGCTGTTGATGCAGGCCGCACTTCTTGCGACCTATATTGCTGGGGATGCTGATGATGCAGTCTGCACTTCACATCAAATCCGCTTGGTTTGCAAGCAAATGAATGCTAGCGGGGCAGGGTGACTTGCGACGCATGTTGCCGGAGATGCGCTGATGATGCAGCCCGGTGCTGTTGATGCAGTCCGGACTTCTTGCGACCTATGTTGCTGGGGATGCTGATGATGCAGTCCGCACTTCACATGAAATGCGCTCGGTTTGCAAGCAAATGAATGCTAGCGGGGCAGGGTGAACTCACACCAGCAACACGATGCCAATGCTTGCGACGCATGTTGCCGGAGATGCGCTGATGATGCAGCCCGGTGCTGTTGATGCAGGCCGCAATTCTTGCGACCTATGTTGCTGGGGATGCTGATGATGCAGTCCGCACTTCACATGAAATGCGCTCGGTTTGCAAGCAAATGAATGCTAGCGGGGCAGGGTGAACTGACACCAGCAACACGATGCCAATGCTTGCGACGCATGTTGCCGGGGACGCGCTGATGATGCAGCCCGGTGCTGATGATGCAGCAGGCCGCACTTCTTGCGACCTATGTTGCTGGGGATGCTGATGATGCAGTTCGCACTTCACATGAAATGCGCTCGGTTTGCAAGCAAATGAATGCTAGCGGGGCAGGGTGAACTCACACCAGCAACACGATGCCAATGCTTGCGACGCATGTTGCCGGAGATGCGCTGATGATGCAGCCCGGTGCTGTTGATGCAGCCGCAGTTCTTGCGACCTATGTTGCTGGGGATGCTGATGATGCAGTCCGCACTTCACATGAAAAGTGCTCGGTTTGCAAGCAAATGAATGCTAGCGGGGCAGGCTGAACTCACACCAGCAACACGAGGCCAAGGTTTGCGACACATGTTTCCGGAGAGGCGCTGATGATGCAGCCCGGTGCTGTTGATGCAGGCCGCACTTCTTCAGCAAATGACTGCTAGCGGGGCAGGGTGAACTCACACCAGCAACACGAGGCCAATGCTTGCGACGCATGTTGCCGGAGATGCGCTGATGATGCAGCCCGGTGCTGTTGATGCAGGCCGCACTTGTTGTGACCTATGTTGCTGGCGATGCTGATGATGCAGTTCGCACTTCACATGAAATGCGCTCGGTTTGCAAGCAAATGAATGCTAGCGGGGCAGGGTGAACTCACACCAGCAACACGAGGCCAATGCTTGCGACGCATGTTGCCGGGGATGCGCTGATGATGCAGCCGCTGCTGTTGATGCAGCCCGCAGTTCTTGCGACCTATGTTGCTGGGGATGCTGATGATGCAGTCGGTTTGCAAGCAAATGAATGCTAGCGGGGCAGGGTGAACTCACACCAGCAACACAAGGCCAATGCTTGCGACGCATGTTGCCGGGGACGCGCTGATGATGCAGCCCGGTGCTGTTGATGCAGGCCGCTTCTTGCGACCCATGTTGCTGGGGATGCTGATGATGCAGTCCACACTTCACATGAAATGCGCTCGGTTTGCAAGCAAATGAATGCTAGCGGGGCAGGGTGAACTCACACCAGCAACACGAGGCCAAGGCTTTGCGACACATGTTGCCGGGGATGCTGTGATGATGCAGCCCGGTGCTGTTGATGCAGTCCGGACTTCTTGCGACCTATGTTGCTGGGGATGCTGATGATGCAGTCCGCGCTTCACATGAACAGCGCTCGGTTTGCAAGCAAATGAATGCTAGCGGGGCAGGGTGAACTCACACCAGTAACACGAGGCCAAGGTTTGCGACACATGTTGCCGGGGATGCTGATAATGCAGCCCGGTGCTGTTGATGCAGGCCGCATCTCGCGACCTATGTTGCTGGGGATGCTGATGATGCAGTCCGCACTTCACATGAAAATTGCAGCCGGTGCTGTTGATGCAGGCCGCATCTCGCGACCTATGTTGCTGGGGATGCTGATGATGCAGTCCGCACTTCACATGAAAAGTGCTCGGTTTGCAAATGAAATGAATGCTAGCGGGACAGGGTGAACTCACACCAGCAACGCAAGGCCAATGCTTGCGACAAATGGATGCTGATGATGCAGCACGGTGCTGATGATGCAGTCTGCTTCTTGCTGATGCCGTCCGCGCTTCACATGAACAGCGCTCGGTTTGCAAGCAAATGAATGCTAGCGGGGCAGGGTGAACTCACACCAGCAACACGAGGCCAATGCTTGCGACACATGTTGCCAGGGATGATGCTAGCGGGGCAGGGTGAACTCACACCAGCAACACGAGGCCAATGCTTGCGACGCTGTTGCCGGGGATGCTGATGATGCAGCCCAGTGCTGATGCAGCCCACACTTCTTGAGACCTCTGTTGCTGGGGATGCTAATGATGCAGTCCGCACTTCACATGAAAAGTGCCCGGTTTGCAAGCAAATTAATGCTAGCGGCAGGGTGAACACACAGCAGCAACACGAGGCCAATGCTTGCGACGCATGTTGCCGGAGATGCGCTGATGATGCAGCCCGGTGCTGTTGATGCAGCCGCACTTCTTGCGACCTATGTTGCTGGGGATGCTGATGATGCAGTCCGCACTTCACGTGAAAAGCGCTCGGTTCGCAAGCAAAGGAATGCTAGAGGGGCAGGGTGAACTCACACCAGCAACACGACGCCAATTCTTTGCGACGCATGTTGCCGGAGAGGCGCTGATGATGCAGCCCGGTGCTGTTGATGCAGGCCGCACTTCTTGCGACCTATGTTGCTGGGGATGCTGATGATGCAGTCTGCACTTCACATGAAATGCGCTCGGTTTGCAAGCAAATTAATGCTAGCGGCAGGGTGAACACACAGCAGCAACACGAGGCCAATGCTCGCGACACATGTTGCCGGGCATGCTGATGATGCAGTCCGCACTTCACATGAAAAGCGCTCGGTTCGCAAGCAAAGGAATGCTAGAGGGGCAGGGTGAACTCACACCAGCAACACGACGCCAATGCTTTGCGACGCATGTTGCCGGAGAGGCGCTGATGATGCAGCCCGGTGCTGTTGATGCAGCCGCACTTCTTGCGACCTATGTTGCTGGGGATGCTGATGATGCAGTCCACACTTCACATGAAATGCGCTCGGTTTGTAAGGAAATGAATGCTAGCGGGGCAGGGTGAACTCACACCAGCAACACGAGGCCAATGCTTGCGACGCATGTTGCAGTCTGCAGGCTTCACATGATGCAATGCGCCCGCAAGCAAATGAATGCTAGCGGGGCAGGGTGAACTCACACCAGCAACACGAGGCCAATGCTTGCGACGCATGTTGCCGGAGAGGCGCTGATGATGCAGCCCGGTGCTGTTGATGCAGGCCGCACTTCTTGCGACCTATGTTGCTGGGGATGCTGATGATGCAGTCCGGTTCACATGAAATGCGCTCGGTTTGTAAGCAAATGAATGCTAGCGGGGCAGGGTGAACTCACACCAGCAACACGAGGCCAATGCTTGCGACGCATGTTGCCGGAGAGGCGCTGATGATGCAGCCCGGTGCTGTTGATGCAGGCCGCACTTCTTGCGACCTATGTTGCTGGGGATGCTGATGATGCAGTCCGCACTTCACATGAAATGCGCCGGTTTGCAAGCAAATTAATGCTAGCGGCAGGGTGAACACACAGCAGCAACACGAGGCCAATGCTTGCGACGCATGTTGCCGGAGATGCGCTGATGATGCAGCCCGGTGCTGCTGATGCAGCCGCACTTCTTGCGACCTATGGTGCTGGGGATGCTGATGATGCAGTCTGCACTTCACATGAAATGCGCTCGGTTTGCAAGCAAATTAATGCTAGCGGCAGGGTGAACACACAGCAGCAACACGAGGCCAAGGTTTGCGACACATGTTGCCGGGCATGCTGATGATGCAGCCCGGTACTGGTGACGCAGTCCAAACCGACGTGATGATGCAGTCTGCACTTCACATGAAATGCGCTCGGTTTGCAAGCAAATGAATGCTAGCGGGGCAGGGTGAACTCACACCAGCAACACGAGCCCAAGGCTTTGCGACACATGTTGCCGGGGATGCTCTGATGATGCAGCCCGGTGCTGTTGATGCAGGCCGCTTCTTGCGACCCATGTTGCTGGGGATGATGCCGTCCGCGCTTCACATGAACAGCGCTCGGTTTGCAAGCAAATGAATGCTAGCGGGGCAGGGTGAACTCACACCAGCAACACGAGGCCAATGCTTGCGACACATGTTGCCAGGGATGCTGATGCAGCCCGGTGCTGATGATGCAGTCCGCACTTCTCGCGACCTATGTTGCTGGGGATGCTGATGATGCAGTCCGCAAGCAAATGAATGCTAGCGGGGCAGGGTGAACTCACAGCGACACGAGGCCAATGCTTGCGAAACATGTTGCCGGGGATGCTGATGATGCAGCCCCGTGCTGCGACCTATGTTGCTGGGGATGCTGATGATGCCGTTCGCACTCACATGAAATGCGCTCGGTTTGCAAGCAAATGAATGCTAGCGGAACTCACACCAGCAACACGAGGCCAATGCTTTGCGACACATGTTGCCGGAGAGGCTGATAATGCAACCCGGTGCTGTTGATGCAGGCCGCACTTCTTGAGACCTATGTTGCCGGGGATGCTGATGATGCAGTCCGCAGTTCACATGGTTTCCAAGCAATTGAGCAACGCGAGGCCAATGCTTGCGACAAATGTTTCCGGGGATGCTGGTGATGCAGCCCGGTGCTGACGATGCAGTCCACACTTCTTGCGACCTATGTTGCTGGGGATGCTGATGATGCAGTCCGCACTTCACATGAACAGCGCTCGGTTTGCAAGCAAATTAATGCTAGCGGGGCAGGGTGAACTCACACCAGCAACACGAGGCCAATGCTTGCGACGCATGTTGCCGGGATGCTGATGATGCAGCCCAGCTGCTGATGCAGCCGCACTTCTTGCGACCTATGTTGCTGGGGATGCTGATGATGCAGTCCGCACTTCACATGAAAAGTGCCCGGTTTGCAAGCAAATTAATGCTAGCGGCAGGGTGAACACACAGCAGCAACACGAGGCCAATGCTTGCGACGCATGTTGCCGGAGATGCGCTGATGATGCAGCCCGGTGCTGCTGATGCAGCCGCACTTCTTGCGACCTATGTTGCTGGGGATGCTGATGATGCAGTCCGCACTTCACATGAAAAGCGCTCGGTTCGCAAGCAAAGGAATGCTAGAGGGGCAGGGTGAACTCACACCAGCAACACGACGCCAATGCTTTGCGACGCATGTTGCCGGAGAGGCGCTGATGATGCAGCCCGGTGCTGTTGATGCAGGCCGCACTTCTTGCGACCTATGTTGCTGGGGATGCTGATGATGCAGTCTGCACTTCACATGAAATGCGCTCGGTTTGCAAGCAAATTAATGCTAGCGGCAGGGTGAACACACAGCAGCAACACGAGGCCAATGCTCGCGACACATGTTGCCGGGGATGCTGATGATGCAGTCCGCACTTCACATGAAAAGCGCTCGGTTCGCAAGCAAAGGAATGCTAGAGGGGCAGGGTGAACTTTCACCAGCAACACGATGCCAATGCTTTGCGACGCATGTTGCCGGAGATGCGCTGATGATGCAGCCCGGTGCTGTTGATGCAGCCGCACTTCTTGCGACCTATGTTGCTGGGGATGCTGATGATGCAGTCCACACTTCACATGAAATGCGCTCGGTTTGTAAGGAAATGAATGCTAGCGGGGCAGGGTGAACTCACACCAGCAACACGAGGCCAATGCTTGCGACGCATGTTGCCGGAGAGGCGCTGATGATGCAGCCCGGTGCTGCTGATGCAGCCGCACTTCTTGCGACCTATGTTGCTGGGGATGCTGATGATGCAGTCCGCACTTCACATGAAAAGTGCCCGGTTTGCAAGCAAATTAATGCTAGCGGCAGGGTGAACACACAGCAGCAACACGAGGCCAATGCTTGCGACGCATGTTGCCGGAGAGGCGCTGATGATGCAGCCCCGTGCTGTTGATGCAGGCCGCACTTCTTGCGACCTATGTTGCTGGGGATGCTGATGATGCAGTCTGCACTTCACATGAAAAGCGCTCGGTTCGCAAGCAAACGAATGCTAGCATCGTTGTGCCGGACAAAGGCACATGCTGATGATGCAGCCCGCACTTCAGCACTCGGTTTGCAAGCAAATGGCGGTTGCCGACTTGGCCGAGCAGTTGGGGGACCTTGTTTTATTTTAACGGCTGAGCCGCAGGTTCACCATTATTGTAGGGAGCTAGTTGAAGTACTTTCAAGTACTGGTTCTCTCGTATAATCATGGCTAGAATTGGATTTACAGTACCCCACGACCCCATTCCATTGACCTGTTTATTACCTCCCTGTGGCTCAAGGAGCTTGATACGCAACGCCAGGACCAACGTGTCTTCAACCACTTCATCGTAGCGCTCCGAGTGGGCGACCAGCTTGGGCCGGAAAAGAGTTTAAGAGTACCAGTTACTAGGAGTTGCATTTTGAGGAGGTGCCCCTTCGAAAGAGGTCACGCCCCTTACACAGGGTGTCCTTTTTCTATAGGGGTCGCTGACCAACTGGGAAAGTGAGCATTTCGAACGGTCTGAAATTTGCAGTTCGGTCCCGCTTGTTAGCATTTTGGAGGCGAGTTTTGAGTTGCGCCCGGTGATGACTGCAGGGTGGGGTAAAGGGAAGCCGCCCCAGTTTTTGGAATTTGATACCCCCTTGCCCAGAAACAGACAAATACACGACCTGGAGTGAGGGTATACACAATTCTCAGTGGCCTCTTATTGTCCCTTTTCAGGACTCAATCTTCGACCTTTTGCGACGTTTGTTTTTGTTACTGTTAGGGGGGGAACACCCTCAACCAACAAAACTGGAGGGATCTGTCTCAAGGCTCCGCCCAGCCAATACTTTGTTGTGAAGGGACCTGTTGCTTGTCCTAGCCGTGGCTTAAACAGAATTCATTTCAGAGTCAGAAACATGAATCTCCCTGGTCTGGCCCATGTGCAGTCACAGCTGATAAGTTGAACCTGTGCTTTTCGAAGTCCATGCTTCACCAAATCACAAAGGGGTTGGCGTTGGCTGGGCCTGCTTTTTGCCCCCCATGGTGAGCTGCCACTTCCCCACGTTTAAGACGACCTGCTGTAGTGATAAAGAAGCCTGGACGTGAGAAGTTAGCCTCTGTTGTTTTGTGTTTCCGTGGCCCCCGAAAAATTTGTTGGTTGAAGTGTTGCGCATCCTTCGCTCGGATGTCTTTTCTGGATCTCAACGCCTCCAGGTGTTCGGTGGTGAGCGGTTGTTTGCCCACTTCCGTTTTGTCTCAAATTTAGGGAAGCCCGGGGGTCCCTTTGTTTCCCTGAACAACTAGCCCCCAAAAAGGGTACCCCCAAAAACGACAGCCCCATTCTGGCTCAAGGTTCATTCGTCCATTCGTCATTCGTCAGCTCACACTGTGGATGGACTACCACTTTGAAGCCAAGGTTGAAACCATGCTTTTAAATTGGTATTTACAGGCAGGTCAAGTTATTCATTTCAGGGTTTCTTAGGTGGTGGATTTCGTCCATCCGTGGCTTGAGGCTTTGCAAAGGCAATCCTTCAACCTTTCTTCACAAAAGCGAGGCCTGGCCATCTAAAGATCGCTGTCCTCTCGTTCTCGGCCAATTGCGATCCATGCTCAGCCCATGGATCCAGCTTTGCATTGAGGTGAGGCAGATGTCAGCGGACATCCCCTTGGTGGCCGCGTCCCCGGCGTCAAAGTCTTCCCAAAATTTAAGTAGAACTTTCGGTTGATTTTGATCGGGGGGATCCTTTTTGAGCGGAAATCCTTTACTGTTGGAGCGAACGCCCCCTAATCATTGGCTAATAGGACGGGTTTATCAGCCGAACGGCTGGCGAGTCAGATTTCCAGTCGTCCCACGGTTGAGGAGTCGGCCGCGGCAAGGCGAAGCGACCTTCTCTGACCTTTTAAAGTGTGCGTGACCTATTTTTGGTTATGTCCCCGAAAGGTGATCACCTTTTAATCCTGGGCCCCAGCGTAACTGAGCATATCGCTGCTTTCGATGGGAAGATTCAGGGGCTCATGTCTTCGGAGGGCTCCAAGAATTCATAGCCATATCAGTATCCATAAGCCTTATTAAAAAGAACATCCATAGCCGTATCAGTATAGCCATAGAATTTGGGTTCGTCTGGGCACCCGTTTCCTTGACGCAAAAGTGCATACCCTCAAGAAAGACACACCCATGCGCGAAATCCTGCACCACCTACCAAACCCTGAAATGATGACTCAACATGGCTGCCTAGGTGGTGCAAGAAGCGGAATTCGAAACCATCCGCAGCATGTTTCGTGACTTTCTGATGTTTGCCAACTGAGCCACAATCAAAACCCGGGTAGATGAAGGTTAGTAAGGGACAATCCGAAACCATAAATAGCTGCGGCCGCCTTCTCAATTCTTTACATGGTTCTGGGTCGACCATTTAGTGCCCAGTTTTGATTGTGACTCACAGTGCGTTTGGTCTCCGGATCCAAGGTGGGTCGCTACCAAGACCTCAGCTTCGGGCGGGCGCAGTCCATCGTGCCCGCGTGGCCTTGGCGTCAGGCGCCCTTCGGGCGAAGCGCCCTGCTGCGTTCGGACACGGTGCGGAAATTGTATCCCGTTCGCGGCCTTTTGGAAACAGGCTCCCAGTTGCACGGAAATGTTTGGTGGTTATATGGCTCACTTCCCGAGTTCATGAACTTTAAACTTTTTGGGAAGACCATTTTAGTGGTAAATATGATGCCTTGATGCCAACTTTGAGTCAAGATTGAACATGACTGGTCTTTGTGACTGGACTCCAAGGGTTGGGCGTGTTTCTCATCCGTGCGAAAAGGGTAGCGAGTGGCCCGGCACAAGAAGAAGTCCAACCTTAATCACGGGAACCCAGAATCATGAGCACAGTGAGAAAAGGAGCTGCATGCGGTTGGCACGGAGGGTTTGCAAATCACAATCTGCCAGAATTATCCTTCACTCACCTGGTCTTTATTAGGAGATGTTGTCTGGATGTATATGAGCGTTATTTTGGTTTAGGGAAGTCTTTGGTAGACATCGTTTAAGTTGGCATTTGTGAACCAAGCATGTGTTCCACTGACTGTTTGCAGAGGGGTCAAGAGCAGCCAAGGTTCACCTCTTGAATGGAGCTTCCGGAGTCCCACTCCGGACGCCGAGGGCTACAACCCCTTGGCCCCTTTGCGTCAAATAAACATGCCAGGTGAACATTCGGATCCTGGAGCGGGCCTCAGCGGGCTTCGGTCGCTTGGGGACTGGGGAAATTCCCCGGTGGCGCATCAGCACCGACCCAGATGTGCCGGTGCTCTGTAGGGAATCCTTCGCCGGGTTTTGGGAATGAACCGTTTGGGGTTTCCCTTAAAATAAGCCAGGCTCATTCCAAGTTGGGTTTCCCTTAAAGTAAGCCTTTGGGTTTTCCGGGTTTTGGGGGTTGTTTATAGGGGCTCATGCTTGTGCACAACAGGGAATGAGGGAATGAATTTTGGAATGTTAGTTGCGGAAACCAAAAAAACGAGAACGATACCAGCAAGTAATCCCACCTGACCTGGGTGCAGCTGCCAACAGGGTGAATGTCTTTGGATCAAGTTCGTCTTTCTGCCCTTGCTTGATGGACATCCACTGTCTCCTGCAAAATGGTTCCCACACATTCTGCAGGGCCAGTGTTCCATCGCAATGCCCTTCTGTGTTTCCCTATTCTATCCCCTTTTTCGGGGACTTCTGAAACCAACCGAGTAACCCTGAGTCGAGATTTCAGACCATGGTTGTCCTTTTTGGTTGGATTGCTAGAAAAAATAGATGGCGATTCCTGGTTTACCTGGTGGTTTGATCATCTACCAAGGAAACCCATCTACTTCCCCTAAAAGGACCCCTATGTTTCAGACGCTATCCCTTTGAAAGACTTACTCAACACCTCACCCGCCCGCTTTCAGGACCCAGCCCGCATCGCACATGGCATGAACTTCTTCTGGCGGCGGGCGCACCTGCTGACAAAGGCGAAGCTGGGCAATGGAAGCTGGAAATGGCATGCTGATTCGGTATGTTTCTAGGTCCCCCAGTAGTGCCCTTTTACCTTTTTCGTTTTGTTTTTTTTTTTTTTTGGGGGGGGGGGACTACACAAAAGAGAAGGGTGTCCTTATTCTAACCTCTCCACTGAAGGACCTAGGTTTTCTCTGTTTTGATTCTGTTCCCTTTCGAAGGCTGCAAAAGCGAAGTTTTGCTAAATGCGAAGGCTGCAAAAAACAGCGGGGTGACGCCCTTCGGAAATGCAATAAGCAGATTTGATGATGACGCCAGGTGTAGTGACCTCGCAACAGCTGGGGCACTGCTCAAAACAGCCAAGAAAACCCGCATGGCGGTTTAGTTGTGGGGTGGCGGTTTCACCTGTCAAAGGTAAGGTGCCAGTTCCTTTGATGTTGCTTGCTTTGTTTACAAGGGAGGAGCTATGAAGAAATCGATAGTTAAAAGGGGAGTGATTTTGGCATGACGGTCTAAAGTATTCCCCCACGCAACCTTCCGATTGAGTGCGAGTATGTTATAGTTTTCCCTGCTGATTGTAAAGGGAATCTTCCACTGGAAGCTTGTGTTTGTTTGTTCCACGAGACTTAAGCAATTGGATGTAGCAGGAATGCGGCCAGCGCCAGGGCTCCCGTTCCGCGGGTTCGCAACCTCGAGTTCCTAAAATGGAGCGCAAGCCTCAACCCCCTTTTGGAATTCAACGGGGGACACCAGGAAAGACACCGTTGCCATTTGGGAAGTGGACCGATTGCTAGTTTGAGAGTTTCAGACACATTGCGTGTGGTAAGTTTGGACGGTGTTCTTGTTGTTTTGCAGGTTGGACATCTAGTTGGAAACAGGAGGGAGCCGAGGTCAAAGGAGTAACCCTGAGGGAAATGTTGTGACTTGGCATGCCACTCAGGGCGAGAGGTTTCACACGTGCAAACAACTTAACGGGAACCTCGGCTAAATAAACCCCTCATTGATTTATGGGGGGGGTGTCCCCTTCTAGTCGAGATTCACTTTTGGAGCCAGAGCCCCCTTACTTGCAACATGATGACGGGTTGACTCTTCCAGGGTCAACATCAGCTCGGGTTGAAACCAGGACATCCGTTGGCTTTTACACGGGAATCATCATTCCAGGGTTTCTTAGGTAGTGCAGGTTTTCGTCCATCCACAGTACCTCAAACAAATCCAACATGAAACCTGCACATGTTCCCATTCTATAGAGCCGGCTGGCATGGCAACACTGAGATTTCCCAAGCGATCATGTCAGAAGAAATCAAAGCTTGCAATGTGGGAAGCACGCTCCACAATGACTGAAACGTAGGAAAACAACTTCGGATGGTTTTCAGCCAGATTGCCTTGCGGAAAACACGAACTTGGTGTTAAAAAGGGAGTAGAGCTGCTAGAGCTGACAAAAACTGTCGTGCGCAGTCAAATCCTGTCCATCTTCTGGACTTGCTGGTGCTCAGCGAGGAATGGGGGAATGTCCCCTCTGAACCATCCCTTGTGGCTTCCTTCAACGGAATCCCCTTCCGGTTCATTCCCAGGCGTCGCGATTGGGATTTGGGCGAGGTCCCCTTCTGGGAGATCAACGCACGCTGCTTTGCCTCCAGGTTGCGTTGCCACCCGTGGCGCACGTGAACGGCGCAGACCCCAAGGATGCTGGGGTCAGGCAAGTTCCATGGATGACCTAGACGTTGCACAGTGTTCGTCTTCCATAGTGTCTCCGGACTGGTACTGAAAGGACATTCGAGTGTTTCCTAAGAGTGGAGCGCGCCGGCAAATCGGGGCTCCTTCGGTGAATCTGTGGCAAAACCAGCAAACATGAATCTTCCACCAACATTCTGAAACATGCCATGCTTGAGATGTTTAGGCGATTTGGCTCCTGCTTTGCCAACAGACCTTTTGCTCGGGGACGTGGGGCGGAACTCACTTGTCCAAAGCCGCCCTGTGGACCTTTGTTTCTCTTTTGGCATTTTGTTTAGTCAATGTTCCGAAAGATTAACCTTTATTTCAGACCCTTTTGGACCAAGTGAGAAACAACACAGAACAGGTGTCCAAACTGTTGACATTTATGTGCGACAGAATGCAGATGCATCCGAATTGCCAACTGGCCCCTCTTGCTTTGCACTGCCCGAGGCATTTCGTGGACGTGTTGAGATTGGCAACTCGCCCACAACTCCTTCCCATCATTCTCCTTGGAAACACGCCCGGACGACTCAGGCATTTGTCTATGTTTTGTCCATGTCCCATGGGCTTTGCCCCACAGTTTGTGCTGGATCTCGCGCGGGGCTTCCGCGGCAAAAGGGCATGTGATCAACTTCTTGTTGGTTTCCCTTGGAACCGACGCCAAAAAGGCGTTTCACCCAGAAACAACACCCAAGAAGCGGTCCCCAAAAGGTGTTCCCCGGGTGCAACGCTGCGGCAGGAGTACTTCCTGAGGGACCGCCAGGCGGGTCGAAGATTCGATTTCGGCGAGGAGCTTGGAGGATACGCCGGTCTGCTTGGGTGTGCGTGGCCAAGTTAGTAAGTTGTTGGCAACCTAGGTCAGAATTGGGTTGGATCTTTAGACTTTAACTTTTTGGGAAATCAAGGGGTTTTCCACTAAACCCCCAAAAAGTTAAACTTTTTGCAGGGGGGGGTCAACAGCAACCAAGTTCTCTATGTCCCCACAAGTGGGGGTGCATGCGAGCTGCAGGTGTGGTTTCTGGACGACTGGCATGATCGATTCAACGAGTCGACCAGGTTGCGCGCCCAGACATCGCCAGACATCGCCCCGTTGCAGGGAGAGTTCCAGGCAATTCCGGCAATTCATAGTTCATGGGCTCCAAGAAACGGGTCCAAAGGTTGCTCACATGTGGCATCCTAGAACCCATGTGCGAGAGTTGCCATTTGCGCATGTGTCAAGTCAAAAAACGGGGTACCGCCAAAAGGTTTGTTTTCTTTCAATTCCATCTTTTATTCACGGGGTGCCCTGAAACACACTCGCAATTTGGTTTTGGTCGCCCAACGAAAGCGCACGGCCTTTGTACCCTGTAGTCTTTGTTTTGATTGTTCCTTGTTCCTTGGAGCTATCAGACAGAAGGGGCGTTGTCTCCTAGTCTACGACCTAGGGGCTTACTTTGAAAATGGGAACATGGGTGTATCTTTTTTGAGGCTTTTCCTTTTTTGTTCTTTTTCTTTTTTTTTGGTTCTTTCTTGACAAGAAACAGAAGAATCACCGAAGCCAATTTTGAAGCTCCCATTTCCATTCTGAGAAACGTGGAGCCACAATCAAAACCCGGGTAAGTGAAGGTTAGCAAGGGACGATCCCAGCCATAAACAGCTGCGGCCGCCTTCTTAGTTCTTTACATGGTTCTGGGTCGACCATTTTTGGTACCGGGTTTTGAGGAAATGACTCACATGGGGCGCAAGAAGCTGGTGAAGGTTCCTGACCTACGCGCATCTGCCGGGCACCTTGAAGGAGGATTTCTCTCAGCTGGCGGCGGCCGTGGAGGCCACTTTTCGCTTGAGTAGATTTGGTTGAAAACGACCTCACCCTGATGAACGGGTCTTTTCCGAGGGTGGCCTTTATTTTCAGTCTGGATTCATGCTATTTTATCACGTGAACACTAGGTAACCCAGGCGACGCCCTCAGAATGGTGTGGTTTCATTTTGGTCCGCCTCAAAGACCAGCAAAATGTTGCCCAGACCCATGAGGGTTGCTTAGGGGCTGGTAAAGCTTAAGCTTAATCCAAAGCCACCTTCCCCTGGTGCTTTGGACGGATGAAATCCATTTCGCACCACCCAAAGGACAAACCCTGGAATGATTCGATGGGCCAACAAACCTTATGTTTTCAACCATGGTTTCATTCCGGTGGTGCGAGACTCGCGGCTTTCACCTCCGTCCACAAAAAGTTGGGCCGGGATCGCCTGGGTCCGATGTGTGGCTGGCGCCCTGAGGGCAGCCTCCAAACGACTGAGGTCTCCCTTGAGAAGGTGAGAGCAACGGTTGGGTTGTTCCAACCTGGCTGTGGCTCAAAAAGCCGGTACCAAAATGGAACCCCGGAAAGTGGAAACATGGGCCAACACCTGCGTACCCCCTCCGTTGCTTTTTGAGCCACACCCACTTGAGCTTGCAATGGCTGGTTTCCCAACTGGCGCCAGTGAGGAAGCATTGAATTTAGCGTTCCGAACCCCACGATATCTTTCGGGCCCTGCGAAAGCCTCTGGAGCAACCCTCGTTCTGGCTGGGCGCAAAGAAAACTGGGACCTCAATATGGGTGTGGCTCAAAAATTAAGAGCTAGGGTTACGCAGGTGTTGGTCTTTCATTTACCAAGGTGCCACTTTAGTACATGTTTTTGAGCCACAGCCATATTTCCCCCTAAAGCTATGGAGGGGCTTGTTGTCATAGCTTTGTCACTCCGTGGCTTTGGCGTGAGTTTTCGGAGGCCCTCCGCCCCCCCGGGTATAACGCCCAGGTACATGGATGACAGCCTTGCCATCAACTTCCCGTGGCAACACTCCGTTTCCTTCTGCCGGCTGAAAAACCTTGTAAAGGACACCCCGTTTCGGGAATCGAACCCTCTAGTTTGATTTCATGTAACAACTAGGTCCCCCAGTAGTGCCCGTTTGCCCTTTGGGTGAGGAATCCCCTACTACAATAGACAAAACAGAAGAAGATCGGGTACCAACTTATTCTAACCTCTCTACTGGAGGACCAAGTTATGTTTACTTACATGTTTCCAAAAAAGGATGCCCTTTTTCCCCATGAAAATCCTCTGGGCATCTGATCTGAGAATCCTAGGGGATTTCACACCTTTTTGGGTGGTGTGCCACACGAGCTTTTCTCCCTGGGGTGAGGGAAAAAGCAGGTGGCCAAGCTGCTGAACCGGCGCCTGGTGCTTCCCAGCACCATGAACTGCCGGGGTGTCAGGGGACGGCGAGCGAGCCATGCGGAGCCAGTTTTGGGTCGTGGGGACTTCTTTTGGTTTTGGGGGAGGTTGCAGTAGTTTGTATTTGTGTGTTTTTTGGTTGCTTTTTTTCTGGGGGGGGGAGGGGGGGGAATTGGGGGCTCCCTACATGTCCAACGTAAAAGCAGCGAAACTCAGCTGAAGTGGGCCACAAAGGTGATGTCGTCGTGTGATTTCCAGGATCTCACTTTAATGGAATCAATGGGCCACAAAGGTGATGCCGTGGTGAGATTTCCAGGATCTCACTTTAATGGAATCTGTCCTTTTTGGTTTCGGCGGGTAACACGGGTTGGTAAGTTGGGTGAGGTTTGCCGAAGGTGCCCTTTGCTGCCTTGCCGAGCCAAACATATTCCATGTGAGCAGAGGAGGGGTAGCCTTTGCAATGCTGGCCTCTGACAAACAACCCCCCCACACTTGCTTTCTTCAAAAAGGCCCTCCTTGCTTACCAGCTGGGGTTTATAAATCAGGGGTCAACAGTAAACACGACTCTTGACCCACGGTGTTTACATACCTGGAACAAATCCATAGCTCCCTCGATGCAGATGAAGCAATTCCCGTCAGGTTCTGTTAGGACTTCGCGACTTCGCACGCGTGGTTCGATGGGCTAAAAGTGCTAAACTTGATTGAACCTCACTTAAATACTGGGTGCTCAATAACCCATATCAAAAAAGATGCCCGTAGGCAAGCCCACAGCCATTGGCAATCCTTTTTCCAGGCTTCCTAATTCACACCGATAGACGCCTAGGGATGCGCATTTGATGTTTCTCCAACACCTAGAATTTTCACTGGGTTCCCTCAGGGGCCACGGTCAAGGCCGCAACGCTCCCTCCTATCGGGTTTGGAACCTGGATCTCACGGTGCAGATGGAGTCGGACAGCCCGGGGCCGCGGGACGCCGCGGGACGCCACGGGACCGAAGAATTCGGGGCGATTTTGGGCCTTGAGGTGGGTTTCCAGTGGGGTTTGGGTTTCGGGGGGGGGGGGGTCACGAATTCTTGAAAACCAAGTGAGCTTTGGGAGAAAGCAAGTTTCTTCTGGCTGGGATGTCCAGAGAAGAGAAACGAGTCCAAAAGAACCATGGTTGAAGAGATTGGGGAATGATTTCCTGGGAGATGGGTGGTTTGGAACCTTTGGGAACACTACTTTGAAAGAGTCCCAGGCAGTAACACATTCATTCTCGAGGTGATTGAATTCGCTCGAGGGATTTGGGGACCATGAAGAAGGTCGCTAATGGCGTGATGAGGCGGACAAATTTCGTTCTGTTCTTGGAAAGTACTTGAGGGGCTTGGTTTTGAACTGAGCCAACGTCAACGACAGCATCATTTTGGCCAGGTTGGTTCAGACAAAGCGCCTGATGGAAGAATTTGAGAACAGCCACGCTAAGACTGATCGGATGTTGGCTTCTGTGCCGCCCATGAGTGATATTGCACTTGGACACAGGGGCACTCCTTAAGCAGGATGTAATGAAACATTCACGCCCTAGGACCCAGCTGTCCAGCCTTATTTGGTCTTGTTTCCAACTTTCGCCATCGTGCATTTCTGGCGATCCTTGCCGGCCAGGATCAATCTATGTGAATGTGTTGATTCGATGTTTGGGAAAATGACGGGGCCCGTCCTCAGAATGGGTAAAACGGGTAAAACTACTCACTTCCTGAGTTCCTGGACTCCTGAACCGTAGGCCAAAACTTTTGGGAGGACAGTTTTCATTGGTAAACAACTGTTTTCAACTTTTTGTGGCCAACCCACTCATGAAGTGAGACACATTCACGATTCGTCGGTACCGATATCTGCAACCAAAAAGCTGATTCCAGGGCCTTCCAGGGTGTCCTTTTTTTTGGATCCGAATCGCTTAGCCCTGTCAATGCGCTGGCTTGATGGATCCTCCTCCACATCGATGCCCACCTGCTCATGATGTACTTGTTTTTATTTGCGGGGCTTTGCAGGCGCATGAAGCAAATGAGCAGTGAAAGTCAAACTTACCCTCCCTTCCACTAACATGGCACCTCTGGGAGGGTACCTGGAAGATTGGTTTTCTCTTCAAAGGACCTCATGTCTGGCGCTATGTTAGTTGGAGGGGGGTAGGTGTTTTCCTCCTGCGCCTTTTAGTTCCATGTGATGAGGTGGGAACTGCACCCTGGACTACTTCTCGTGGGCTCCGTCCTGAGCCAGTGGATGAGGCTTTACTTGCCCAATCTGTCGCGGAAATGGTTCTGTGACTGAAGCGAACGGACAGGGTGAGTTGGAAAACGCTCGGGGGTTGAAGAAGTCCTTGTACCCCCTCAGAGTTTCTATGATCACGAACCAAGAACATATTAGAATCCTATGGCGCCCTGCATTGCCCTGCCCTTTTGCTAAATAGAGAACACAGCAACCTTGTAGAATCAACCTTGGCTTGTGCTTGGTTTACATGAGCAATATTCACATAAGGCATCCGCCGTAGGCTTTTTTTGCTTTTCATGTCGCTTCCGGGGACCAACTTCCGAGATGAACATACTGATGGGCGAAATCCAATTCGCACCTAAGAAAGCGTAAGAATCATTGCCAACAACCAGTGGCCTCCCATGAAAGTGGATTTGGCGAACGGATTTCGCAGCCATCAGCAGATGCTGGAATCCTTGCTCGCGTGGGCACCAGGGACCAACTTTCTAGGCCAAGAACTTTCTGGACGCCCATGCTGGCTTTGTGGTGGAGCCAGGCGCTCGGAAAGGATGAACACTCCAAATATGTTTGGGTCTGGCTTTTTTTTTGGAGGGGTGGCCCTTTTGGTTGGACACCTTCATTTCTGTTGCTGTTTTCGTTTAGGGGGGTTCAACCATATTTGAGACAAAATCAGGTGGAAAAAAGGAAAAGGTTTCCCACTCATTCTTTTGAGGGATAGCCAAGTTTCCAGGGGTTGACACCCCTTTCTTCCGACCAGCTCTTCAGTTTCAAAGCTCAGCCGACTTTGTGCAACTAGCTTTTTGGAAAGGATCCCAAGCAATGGGAAGATACCCTAAACTCTCACGGACTGTGGATGGACAAAGTTATGCACCGTTTAAGGCACCCGGGAAGGATTCCCCTGTATATACCAACAGACAATTGCTTCCCATGGGGTCAAAGTGGTGCAGAATTTCGTTCATCCACAGCATCATTCTGACCTAGAGCTCAATCCCCCATCAAAGAATGGCTGACCCAATTTAGATGATCACAAGTCCTTAGTCAAAGAACGGTAGTTTTATGAAGCGAACGCGTATTTCAGAGTGTTGCCAAAGATTGGGTTGCTCTCAACCGAGGAACAGGTCGCTAGACCTTTGGTAGGTAAAATTTGGAGAAGCCATTTGAACTCAAAAGGTTTACAGGGCCTTTGGGGTCACACCAAAGAGGGTTCTCGCAACAGGTCTCGCTGGAGCAGACTTCCAATGCCGTTTCTCCAACCACTCACATCCTGGGATGCAAGTGTTAGCGTTCTGCGAAACCGCTTGCCCCAGGTCTGTCTACTTTTCAAGGCCTCCTTCGGGGTTTTCACGGGAAACCACAGATTCAACCCATGCTGGGTGTGAAGACACGCCCATGTTTAAAAGGGGAGTTCGTCCTCCTTCGGGTTCTGATTGCTTCTCTTGATGCGGTCGGGGGGGTGCTTGACCTCCAAGTGGAAGGAAGTCAGAGACTCGGAGATCCCGCCAAGGGAACTTTGCCGGGCAAAGCCTTGAGGTTGGACCAATCTCTGGCAAGGTGAACCGATCCAGATCAACGGCCTCCAACATGGCAGCCCTTGTGAGATGATGGTCGTCCAACCAACCCTTGTCAATTTCCATGATTGTCAGAGGCCCTGTCTTCACCATAGCTTCCAGCGATCTGATCGGTGAGGTCCAGCGTGCAGCGCGCTGAAGAGTTTCGACACCTCCAGGCATCTAGAAGGGGGTTCCGTTCTGGGGGTGGGGAAGGCTTATCTTCACACCTGGATGCAAAGTGTTGTTCTTGGATGAGGGACACTGCTTGAGGGACACTGCCGTCTGGGCATGCAGTTGTCTGCTGTGCTATGTCGAGGTTCCTGCTTCGTTCGTTTGGGCTGGTGTCCCAGTTCCTGCCGTCACATCTTGCCCGGATTAGATTGCCATTTCCACCTTCCGGGTTCGTGAGGGGGGGGGAGAACGATGCCTAGGAAGAGGAATTGTCTAGGCAGGTCGGTGAAAAGGCGGCGTTGGCACTTCTGGCAAACCGTGCCAGCTGTCGGTCCATTCCCTTTCAAATGTTTGGTAGTTGTTTTTTTTCAAGCCAAGTTTGTTGCAAAGCTGCTACAGGTTGGAGTGGTTGAATGAAATTTAAGGAGGGGCTGCAAAACCAGAATTGCTTTTGATGACATATTGGGAAGTATGTGAGCAACGGATGTGCTATTGCCAGTGGTTTCCGCATGCCCTTCCTTTGCTTTTGTTTTCTCGGTTTTGCGGCTTAGGTACGGGTTGTTGCTGGCAACAGTGTCGGGATATTTGGATGTGGCAAACCGTACATCCCAAGGGGCTCAATACAAACAGCCTTTCTGCAGGAGGTCCTTTCCTTTCCTGGCGATCCGTGAGGGGTCTTTCATAACCATGAATAACTTGACCAATCCCTGGCGGAAACCAAGTGAACCGAAGCTCACACCGTATCTCAAATCACTGGCTGTCCCATATTCCACGTCAACCACAAGCTTCCTGAGACAAGGCAGGTAGCAAGTGAGTAGTGATCGTGGTTTTCCGCTGAGGGGGCTATACCATGTTTAGTGAGCTAGAACCACGGTTACTACTTACCAGACGTTCCCTGCCTCTTTAAGTGTGGCGGGTGCTCCCCTGCAGGGTACTAACCTAGAGCCAGACCCATATCAAGCAGAGCCAAGGGCGGGTCACGGCCCTTCATGCCCCTCGATGGCCCCTAATAGTCACAAACAGCCCTCCAAAGTTTCCTACGAAAACAGACGGCGTTATCTCCAACACCTATACCCTCCCACCAATTCCTACGGAACCTGACAGGGTCCTGGAAGACCATGTTCCTGCTGAAGGAAGCTTTGTCAGGTTCCAAGTTCATGGGTGGGAGGATAGCTGATCTTCCCAACGAGTATGGCCTCCAGTTGCTTCAGTCTCCCAGAAAAAAGACGAAACCGCTTCCACTAGTGATAGGTTCAGGCCGTAAGGCCTCTCGCCCCGCTGCCCGCTCAGTCCGAGCTGCTGGAGTTAGAAGCAGGGGCCCCATATGCCCACGGTCTCTCAGGGCGTGGGGAAGGGTGTGCTGGAGTTCTTATGGATTTCTCTTCTTTTGGAAGGATCCTTCCTTTTTGCAGCTTGGTCAACGTGGAAATCCCTCCAACAAAACAAAATGAACAAGCAAACAACGCCATTTGTTGGCCCCCCTAGTTTGACACATACTCTTGTTTCGGTTTGTGCGATTCATGTTCTGAAATTCTAATGCATTTTAGCTTCTACTTGGGGCGCGCGACCTCGGCTGAAATTGAGCCTAGGCCGTGAAAGACGGGTGTTGATTGACGACCAGCACTGGACATCACCTCATCAGCTGGGCGTTGATTTAGCTTCATTGGAACTGGTCCTACGTGGCTTGGTTTGAGCGACTTCCAGGCACTTGCTTTCACTGCATGCGAGTCGGTCTTGCCCAGTTGTTTGAAAAACACCCTTGTTCCCTTGTCGCTTGGTTCGTTCTCACGAAGCATGTTCAATCCCAAAAACCACTAGACAGGGATGTTGCAACTTGGATTACGTGCTGAGTTGGTGAGCTTGCTTTGCGGGAATGGGTTATATTGGAGCATTGGTTGGCTCAAGGCATTGATGCCCCCTCCCGGGAGAAACTGGCCGAAGCCTGTGGATTTCTCAGTTTTCAACAGGTTGACTTGCTAGGTGCTGAGTGTCGGCCTTTTTCGGAATGGAACTTCAAGTCTATGCACAAGGACAGCTTATTTTGCTATTTCTGAGTTGTAGGTTTGTTTGTCTCTTTGAGTTGAGCAGGTTGAGATGGAGGAACCCATCCCTTTGAAGCCCTTCACCTTGATTCTAATTAGAGCCAAGGGCTCCACTTCGTTTGCGCAGAGGCGGCAACACGGGAATGTGGATGTGGTACCCGCTCCCGGGGTTAGACGTTTTTCGCTTTTGGGGAGACGGTTTCTTCGTGGTTTTCACGAAGTTGGGAGCTCTTTGTTGGGCTCAGTGAGGGCAGGTTCTCAGTTTCATGGGGTTCCTTGGTACCATTGGCCCGGGAGCTCCTACAAAGCCTTTTCGCATTGTTCTGGGGCCGTGAAGGACAAGGTTGAAAACCACACCATCCTTGGTTTTTGGGTGTTTAGGGTTTATTGGTACTTTCTGCTTAACCCACCAACAGTTCAACGTTTAGCAGGGGATCTGAGGGCAGCCCAGCATCCCTAGTGTGAAGAAGACAGTCCAGTCCAGTCCAAGTGATCACCTTTTCTTCAAGGTTCGACCAGGACAACACTCGCCAGAGAAAAAGCAGCAGTTTATACAGCTGCAGGGGGGGATGACGATCGGCAATTTTCCAGAAGGAGGCATGTCACACGCGCTTGGGGGTTGATCAAGAGGTCCGATGATCACCATTAGGGAACCATCCGAAATGGAGTTGAGGTTCCGCCGCATGGGACAAGTTACCCATGCTCATTTTGGAGCCAGGAAGTTTCAGCCTCCAATTCGTGGTTTGGATTGGTGGTTTGGTGGTTAGGGGCTGGTTTCCAGGTTACCCTCAACAAGAACCAGGAGTTCAAATCCAGAAACCACCAATCTAAGCCACCAACAAAGGATACCAGAAATGCTGCTCAGCCCCCCATGTGTGCATTCGAGGGGGGGTTCATTTTCCGCTGATCTGCAGGCTTTGTCAGCAGGCTGGCCTGCTTTTTCAGGGACTGGGGGAGAGCGCGAACAGATCAATGTGAATGGGTTTCCTTATCTGAGGTTAATTAATTTTAGTAGTTGAGCAGCGCCCAAGGCCCCCTATTGGTCATCGTTACATCCCCTCAATGATGCCCGCCAGAAGGATCCCAATTCAAATTAATAGTCGTATTCGAATCTGCTCAAATGGTATAGCTTCCTTTTCGGTTGCGGATTCTCATTTCGCGAGAGTCATGGAAGCTCCGGGGCTGACTATACCCTCAAAGGAAAGCCTGAAGTTTGCTTAGAGCTTCTTAAACGATCTCCATTTTGCAACCATTTGAAACATGTTGCTTTTTCAACACCAAACTAAGGTTGGAAACCACCAGAAAACAAGTTGCAATGTTCAGGTGTTTTTCATGTATCCGGATCCCTGTCTGGATCACAATGGATTGAACTACAGTCCACATATTTGTTTGCCTTCGAACCTTCAAAGGCGACAAAATTGCATTGGAATCCATCAGAAGTTGTATCCAACAAAAAGCGGTCGAATCATATGGCTGTGGTTGTCAAAACCGTTTTGGTCCCATTTTGTGGGATTTGTGCACCCATTGTGGTCTATTTTAACGGGGATTGGGATGTTCACTGGGGGTACGGGATTTTGACCCATGGCTATATGATGTCGGACTGGCTTTTACTTGAACATTCAGTGACCACGCGAATATTATCCAACAAACAATCCGACAGGTTGAACCCAGTCCATGACAGTGGCGGTATTTGGAGGAGTGCTCAGAATTACTTTGGAAGGCGGCTTCCCTTCAAACGACGACTTAGAGGGTGGAGAATGTCAGGTTTAGTTCCCCCGCTTCGGACCGCAGCCGCGTCGGGCCAAAGAACGCCCAGCGGGAAGTTACACCATAAGACGACAACTTTTGTTTAAGGGTGGGCTAAATATTCACCAGAGTCCAGGAGCCCCGCAAGACGGATGTTTTTCTTCGGCTTCCCAATTTAAGCACAGAAAGCCGCCCTCGAAACAAGACTTTCAGCCCTGAGAAAAGGGGCTCCCTCACTCAACCCCTTCGATGTGGCAAACGTGTGGCTTTTGCTTCCCTTTTGGTGGTTTAGGGACGTGGTAATTATTGTGGATGGTTGCGAAATCCGTTCGCACCAGATTGAAACCATGTTGGCATTTACAGGTGATTCATCATTCCAGTCTTTCTTGGGTGGTGCAGGATTTCGTCCATGCAAAGTATGTCAGTTTGTTTGTTTGTTTGCGGCACCTCAAGCAAAGGGAAGACCCCGTCCCGACAACAAAAAAGCAAAAGACGAGAAGCGAAGCCACGCCTTGCGCTGACTTCGCAGCGGCAAGCGTGGTGCTCGCTCGAGCTTGCACGATGTCGGAAGAGCGTGACAAGGACTGGTCGTTGAGGACCCGTGCTTTGGCTGAAAGCAAGGTTGGGGGCCAACTGAGTTTTTACAAAGGTTTGTTGCCAAGCAGCCAAATAATAGGGAACCCCCTCCCCCCCAAAAAATAAAGCAAGTGGTTGGTTTCCTTTGTCTTCCTGTAAGCCACCACACGCCAACAAAAATAACATAGAAGAACGTGTACCGAGCCTCCAAAAAGACACCCAAATGCTGCTCAAACAAACTGAGTTGGCCCAGCCAGTGCTCATGGGCCAACTCCCAACCCCATCATAGACATGGACACAAAATATCTACCCATCACTCTAAGATGGTTTCCCTGCTCTCAATCCACTCCCCCCCATGAAAAAGGGGCATATACCCTTTTTATAGTGGTTGTATATTCCATTTCACCATTGGGGTAGTGGGTTTTTGGGGTAGTGAAAGCCATCTTGGAGTCACTGGAAGGGGGCCCTTCACAAGTTTCTTCAATGCCGGGGGTGCTTTCCGTGGATTGGCTTCCCTCCTGCGTCACTGTACCCAACGAACAACCAACCCATACTGTAGCCCATACTTGTTTTTGCTTCTCCTTCAGCACCGGTTCTGATTTGCTTCTTGCGGGGGGCCGAAGCCGCCCTACAACTTGTGGTTTGCTTGTTTAAAAAAAATCCAGCTACATTATATACCTTTTGTGGTCAGGTGCTGCATTATCTTTTTCATTTGGGTCGGGGATCCAGCGGCCGCTTTTTGTGAAACCATTCCAACATCCGTGACTGTACGGGAGGGGCGCTTTCAACAAACAACCCTTGCCCTTGATTTGGATGTGTGTGTGTGTGTTTTCTTGGCCCCCCAAAAAACATATGTACATATATATATATATGTGTACAATAGTGGAGGTGTTGCTTTTGGTTCCCTTTAACAATACCAACAAATTGGTACCTTCAAAAAACGACACCCCCAGTTCCGATGTGGTGGAGGGTAGGACCTGCTTTGGTTTCAACGATTGTCCAGCTAAGTGGAGATGGAACCGGACCCCAGTTCGAGCCCAACTGGTAGGTTTTTTTTTGGGGGGGGGAAACTTCATGATTGCTGTAACTAACCACCTAGCCAACCCGTGGAGTACAGAATGAAGTTTTTCCCGGACGAAAGGTTTCCTTTTCGGGGAAGCCCGCGTCACTCACTTCCATGATTGGAAGGATATTCTTATTGAGGGTACCACTTTTTTGCAGTTTGATTTCCATGGGAAAACAAGGAACGCCACACCATTTTGAGGGGTCCGATTCCTAGAAAAAGGGGACATACCCGCCGCCTTAGCGGCGGTGTCGACGCGTCGACGTGTCGACCTCGTGGGTTTTGGTGAGGTACCAAGGTGGGCCTTTTGCTGGCGCTGGCTTTGCGACTTCTGGGCTTCTCCTTTACGCGGGTGCCGTGCCAGCGCTCGCTGGGGGGTTTTCTGGCGATGGGCATGGGGATGGAGAAACTCTGTTGCCCAGTGGTGCCCTTTTTTCCTTTGTTTTGGGAAGGGTTCCCGTTTAAGGTCAACCGGTCAAAAAAGGATGCCCTTTTTTCCCATGGCCACTGGGCATCTGAGAAAGGGAAACCAAAGGCTGATTAGGGTATGGGGTCAAAACTAAACCAGCTGACAGCAGATTGTCTTAGTCCTTGCTTCCACTTTGACGGTTTCCATTCAGGATTTGGGGCACCTATTTTGACCCACACCCGTTTTACGTGGATTCGCTTTGGGCAAGAACAGCAGGGCATTGTTGCATGGGGACATGGCAAGCCATCTCTGGCTCCGAAACCGCAAAGAGAAGCCCCGACGTAAAAATCGGCCCCTCTGGTTCAAGTGGACCGAGAACATTTGGAAAGTCCAGCCAGGAACACCTGACGCCGAGATTTCTTGCAAACCTGAAGCTCGCCTGGCTCTCTGTCTCTCTCTCAAGGTGAAGGGATCAACATGGGTTGATCTCTTTGCTTGGTTCCCAGCCATCCGGCTATTCAGCTTTCAGTTTTTAAGGTTCGTGCGGGTTTCCATGTATCGGGACCACTGGATCGTAAAACGGGTTCTGCCCAGGTTGGGCTAAGGGAAACCGGGCTAAGGGAAACCGGGATCTGTTGTCGGCGTGTTGAGCCCTCAGTGTGGGTTACAGGAGGGGAGTTTTGTCGGATAAGCCAGTCTTGAAGGTGGCTAGCAAATGCGGATGGAGGAACAACCCAATCTAGCAGTGAAACAAGAGCAGGATGGAGCCACTTGTGTTATACAACCTCTTTTTTTGTTTGTCATTCAAACGGCATTAGGGCCAGCCTCTTAAAGCTAAGTTTGAACCACCCACTTCTCGGGGAAGCCAATCGGTTTCCTTTAAGACTTTTGCCCACAACCGCCTCAAAACCTTGCGGCGTAGCTTCGCAACCACCAAACCACTCCAAACCAATTAGTGGGCAACTGATACTGTGGATGGACGAAACCCTGCACCACCCGAGAATCACTGGAATGATTCGATTCCCCTGTAAGTACCAACCAGCACTGGTTTCAGCCATGGTTTCAAGGTGGCGCGAACAGATTTCGCAACCATCCACAGGTTGACTTCAGGGGAAAAAATCGGAAGGACACCCCCACAATTTCTCGGGCCCAAGCTGACAACGGATCCGATGGAGGTGAAAGCCTGGCTGTCAGCTGGCTTCCTGGGTGTAGATCAAAATGAAACCGCCAGGGGACTTGGTTTTAGTCCGTCTTCCCATGGGTTCCATTTGGTGCCATGTTGGGTAGCTATATTTGACCCAACCCCATGTTATTTGTGGCAGGGTGGAAGATCAATATCCGCTTGAAGGGACGCGTCAGGTGTTTGATGGGGTGTCAGTGTCAGGCGTTTTATCTGCTGGGGTCCCCGATGAAACGGTCCATCCCAGGTGCCCTTGTTCTACCAGGTTCTCCTCGCATGCTTGAGCTCAGGTAAGCCTTACTTGGTGGTTGGATTTGTTTAAAAAATTGAACCCCTGGCTCTTCTAGAGAATGAATCACCACACCAGCAAATGGAGGGAATGAGTTGAGCCTGGGGAGTCGGTTCCAGGTGTTCTTGCTGCTGCTGATCCGGTCTCTGCTGCTGCAGGTGCGGAACAGAGCTCGAAAGCCCCGCGAAGAGAGGATCAGCAATCTGAACCTTCCATTTGCCCAAGAACATGCACTAGGTCCGCCAGTGCCCTGCTCTCCCCTTGTTTTTGTTTTTTGGGGGAGGGTTCCCCTACTAAAATAGACTACAGAAAAAGGGTACCCTGTTTCTAACCTCTCTACTGGAGGACCTAGTTTATATTTTCCTGGTTGGTTTTAGACGGAAACTATCACTACTGTAAATGTTGTCTCTTTTGGGGGGCTTAAGCAAACGGGGAGAACCCATGGCCGTTTTGGGCCCCTTGTTTCTTTCCCATCATTAAGATATACAAAGCCAGAATGAACGGTGATTCAACCAATCATCTGAAGCTTCAACCCAGGCTTGACATGGCTCATACCTTCTGCCTGCAGACATTTCCATCACTTCAAAGCTGCGCCACGTAGCTTCTTCCGCTGGGTTCCGGCGAGGTCGATTAGGCCCCGGTTTCCAAGGTTGTTCGATGGTAA